CATCTCCTGTACACTTCCCCTTATCTCATCCGTGGTTCTGTTTCTTCCAAGGCTGTGATTTCCCATGATTCACGGCCACATGGCATCCCTGGGAGAATATTGGTGTTCACAGGATGGGCTTCTGCCACAGGTGGCAGCTCGGGGTCATTGAAAATTCAGACGGGATCAGGCCTCTCTCCTGTTTACTCTGGGGTCCAATTCACTGCCCATCTTCAGGGCCCATATGCCATAATAGCTATTATTGCAACACTTTTGGTTCTGAGAATTTGAAAAATTTACAGCAATTCACCTTTCTTACAATAATAGCTCACATTTACGTATCACTTAAGGTTTGCAAAGCACATGATGTACGTTGTGTTATTTGATCCTCACAACAAGCCTGGGAGGTATATACTATTACCATCGTAATTTCAGTGTCTGCTGTAGAACTCAAACTCAGGCCATCCTGACTCTAAGTCCAGAGTTTGGTCTGAGCTCCAAGGCCCTAACAAACATGGCTGTCCATAAGTGCTCTGTGTTTTGAAGGCTGACCATGGGCTTGCTAGAACTTTGCATGTCCCTGAAGAGGAACCGAGCTACAAAGAGCCACAGTCCATATCCTCTGACCCTGCTAAATGTATTGGCGAATTGGAGGCTGGGCTACATTAATCCAGGAAGACTTTGTGAAGGAGGTAGCCCCTCAAGCTGTTATTTAAGGTAGGAGGAGTTGGCTGTAGAAGGGCTGGCAGGGTGAAAAGGCCATTCTGGGCCTACAGGACACTTGGGGCAAAGACTTAGAGACTGGAGAGGGAGGAGGGGAATGCCATCCTTCTATCGATTTCCCTTTTCTGCCCCTTCAAAATAATAGGAATGATAACAACATAATCTCAACCAACTACGTGTTGACAAAGAAATGTTGAACAATGGGATGAGGCAGCTTAGGAGGCAGCATTGGAATTCATGTCTTCCTGACTCGCGGTCTCAGCTCTGGAACCAAAAGAATGGCAAGAAGCAAATAGGATGCTTTTGATCTGGGGCCTTCAGGCCTGTCAGGAATTTTACCTCCTTTCTTGGCTTTCTTCCCTTCCTCCCTCCTTTACTCTTTCTTACTCTCCCTCCCTACCTCTCTCCCTTCCTTCCTTGCTTCCTTCTTTCCTTCTTTCCTCCCTTCCTTTCTTCCTCCCTCTCTCCTTTACTCTTTCCCTCCCTCCTTTACTCTTTCTTTCCCTCCTTCTACCCTCTCTCCCTTCCTTCCTTCCCTCCCTCCCTCCTTTACTCTTTCTTTCTCTCCTCCTTCCTTCCTTCCTCTTCCCTCCTTTACTCTTTCTTTCCCTTCTTCTCTCCCTTCCTTCCTTCCCTCCTTCTTTCCTCCTTCCTTCCCTTCCTTTCTTTCTTCCTCCCTCCCTCCTTTATTCTTTCTTTCCTTCCTTCCCTCTTCCCTCCTTTACTCTTTCTTTCCCTCCCTCTCTCCCTTCCTTCTTTTCTTCCTTCCTCTTTCCCTCCCTCCCTTCTTTCCTTCCTTCCTTGCTTCCTCCCTCATTTCCTCTTTCCCTCCCTCTTTTCTTTTAAAAGAATATAACTGTAGTCAGTATGAATCTAGCTCTGATTCTGCTGATTTCACTGTTTTCCATATTTTCTTATATGCATCGTATTTATCTTTTTTTAAAGAGCACTGACATGTTCCATTATTAGACCATAATTGATTCAGCCATTCTCCAATTGTTGGACATATATGTTATTTCCAGTTTCTTGCTCTTACAAATTGAGCAGCTACAGATATGAACTTTGAATGGGAATATGAATATTTCCCTTTTTATGACATTTTGGGGATATGATTCTAGCATTTTTAATTTAATAACTTTATATATTTGCTTTGGTGCATTGATTTCTTCCTTCAATACCTTTCATCATTTACATGGATACTGAATATTTAAAAATTAATTTCCTATTCTAGAACCTGTGGCCCGATTGAAGTTTGTAGAGAGTCCAATTAGCACTTGCTGATAGCAAAGTGGTTAAATGCCCAGTAGAGGATGCTGGGAAACAAGAAAGTAGATGGAGAAGGTAACAGCCCCAAGTTTATGTGAAAATCCAACTTGGAGCTTTTCCCTGTACTTTTCAGTTAATACCTTGCTTTTTCATCTAATTTCTTTTTAGGACAGACTTGTTGTTGACAAATGAAAGGCCCATGCATTGGTGATTCTGCATCTCCAAACTAGTCCCAATTTGCTGAAAAATGGGTCATTGATTTGTCATTAGTGGTTGGTTGGATGGTGTTTGGACAGCTAAGGAAAAATGGGTTATGGATTTATCTAATAGCCTTGGGCCTCCATGTTTTAATTACCCATGTTCTCTATGATTAGTCAGTCATGTTGCTAATGCTCAGGACATCCTGCTATGTGAAATCCTTGTTCTCCTTCTCTCTCTCTCTCTTTTTTTCTCCCTCCACAGAGAAACTCTCCCTCCCCCTTCTTTCTCTCTCCTGACAAAGTACTTGTTAGGGTTAAGAGCATTGGAATCAAGATAGTTCCAGGATAACTTTTTTCCCTTCCCTTTTACTGTCTGTGGTCTCAGCACAAGGAAACAGTGTAACCCTTTTCTTGGCTTCATAATTAGCGGTATCTGCCATACCCTTTCAAATCCATATCACCAACATCCCCAAGTCTTCGTGGGCTACCTCCCATGAGGGTTATATGAAATGTTACGTATTTTTTCGCTTGACAAAATGCAATTCAATTTTGTATCTATCACTTTAGAAGATAAAAGGATAAATCTTTGAAAGAAGGGGAGAAGATGTTGTTTTAAAACTGAGGAAAAATACAATTGCAGTTTCAAGAATCACCTCCATCCAGCCCAGGTTTCTTTTGTCAGTCTGCTGTGGGCTTCCTCTGTATCTGCCCAGATGTGGCCTCTGGATAGGCCGTGTGACAAGGCAGGACCAGGAAGGAAGAACAAGGGGAGAGAGTCTGGACTTTTTGCCTTTTCCGTTGTTTGATTGTACTCTCTGTCTCTCTGAAGGCACCTTCTCCTGCTTTCCAATAGCATAATCCATCTGCTTTTTGTTTTTCCCTTCTCCTGGAGTTACTGCCCAAATCATATCTAGTATTTGTAAGTTGTCAATTTGTTGGCCCTAATAACAGGGCCTCCTTTGATGAGGCCCTGCTGTTTCTTAGCTGGGTGACCTTTGGCCAAGCCCTTCTCCCCTCTGGACTTCAGGCTTTTTTCTCTGCAAAAGGTCACATGGGTACTAAATGTACGGCTTTAAAATTCAGCTCCCATGAGTGTTCGGGTGGGCTTTAGTGGTCCCTGTTTCTGTTTGAGTTTGACACCACCAGCCTGGACCTTTCTTAGACTCAGTTAGGGGTTCTTAGCCCAGGGCCTGCAGATCTCTCGGTCTGTAGCTAGATTTCAGAGGGTCTGTGAACTTGGATGGGGAAAAAATATTCGTTTATTTCAACATAATTGATTTCCTTTGTGAGCCTCTGTGTATTTCATTTTAGGCATTTGAAAATGTAATTCTGATAATTAGTCCCTAGGCTTCACTGCACTGTCAGAGTGGTCCAGGTACAACCAAGGTTAAGAACGCTTGGCCTAGATGATCTTGAAGGTTCCTCACAGCTCTACCATTTTGGGCTTCTGTGATTCTTGGGAGAAGCCAAAGTTAATCTCTCCCACTTCCATGGCACTTTAAGCTCTGCAAAACCCTTTCCTCTCAACAAATACTGTTATGCTCATTTTATAGATGAGGACAAATCTAAGGGACTTTCCAGGGGTCCCACAGCTAGTGTGCATCTGGGACAGGTTTGGCCCCCAGGTCTCTCGATTACCCATCTGACACGTGGCCTCTTAAGCCTGCCTTAGCTACTAAGCAGTATTCTCCAGGTTATCCATTTCTCCTGCCCCTGGAGCTAGGGGAAATAAGTGAATGAACTGGATAATTGGGAAATGCAAATATACTTGACTTCATCCCTCAAGGTGAGAGAAATCAAAGATGAAAAGAGATCCACTGGGCAAGAAGAATTCCCATTGCATTGATTTGTACTGTCCAGCCTCACACTACTTCTAGCCGTTGGAATTGCCTGACAAGGAAAAGAAAACACATGATTTGCCCAGGGTTCCTTGGAGGGGCCTCACGGAAAGATCTCACACTAGGCCCACTGATGCCTAAAAATTGCTTGAACTCTGCCCTGGAGGGAAGGTCTGCCTGGCTTTGAATCCTGCCTCAGATACTGCTAGCTTTTCTGGGCCTCACTTTCCTCATCTAAAAAGTGAGGACCGCAATACACACGAGATAGTGGTTTGCAGATCTAGTGGTAGGCCAGCCACATCTTTCAAGGGGGGCTGGGCAGAAAAATAATCTAGAGGTGAAAGTGTGGCCACTAGAAGCTCCAGAACCCACAAAGGGCTGCTGAAAACTCCCAAGACCCAACCTGCCTTCTTTTGGGCTATGGAAGGAGACAGAGGCAGGGTGGGTTGAGGAGAAAGTGGTACACTCGGGTCTGGGTTAAAATTAGGCCTCTCATATTTGCACTTGCTGTCGCTGAGCCTCAGTTTCCCCTTCTCTGAATAATGAGAGGGTTGGATCAGATGGTCTCTAACACGTCTTTCAGCTTTAATTCCAGGGGCCCATGATCTTGGCCCAAAGGCAGGCCTGGGAGCCATGGGGCAGGCTTCTGCTTGATACTGGCACTTCCTAGCATGGAGAGTTTTTGGAATGGTCAGGCGTGCTGCCAGCTCAGGCATGGAGGTGGTGGCCTACATGGTCTCTGAGGTCTCTTCTCTGAGGTGCTGTGAATTGCAGCTGGTGAGGTCTGGCAGGGAAAGCGATTCTCGGCAGATCCCAAAGGGCTCCCAGAAGTTGGCCCTCACATGAGAGCTAGCTTCCCAGCCTGTCAGTCCGGCCCCAGCCTTCTGGTCCCTGCTTCCTCCCTGTTTCCCCCGCCCCCTCCTCCCGCCCCTATCCATCCCCACCCCCACCCCCAGCCCCACTGGCAGAGGCAGCTCACAGGGGCCAGGGCACATCTGGCCTGAGGCTTCTGAGAGCAGAGGCGAAGACTGGGAGCTGTGGCTTGGGAACTGAGGGGGCTGGGATTTTGAGGGCTGAGGGAGGATTGAGCAGGCTAGGCTGAGCCAGGGCAAAGTGCCCTGCCATGGGCGTGGGGCTGGCTCAGATCTGTACCCTACTCTTGGCTGTCTCCCATGCCGGCAGTGATGCTGCACACTGGGGACCCCCGGACACCCCTGACCGAGGTCGTGGTAGCTTCTGGGGGCTGCAGGGGGGCCTGGACCCTGGCAGTGGCTGGAGATCTCAGGAGGTTCAGACCAGCGGGCAGTGGCTGGGGCCCCCTGGAAAAGCCGGGCAGTGACAGGGACCTCAGCAGCGACGGTGGCTGGGGGCTCCCGGGAGGCCCTGACCATGGCAGCGGCTGGGGACCCTCAGGCAGCCCTGAAGACACCAAGGGCTCGGGGGCTGCACACCCACTCTTCTTCTCTCTGGATTACCAGCATGTGCAGGTGCCCTTTGAGATTACTTTGTGGATCATGCTGGCCTCACTGGCCAAGATCGGTGAGTTGGGAGTCCCAAGATTGCACAGCCTTCTTTGGGCACTAACCTGTCCCCTTGGAGCACAGAGACCGGGGCAGAGTGGTGTGGGCTTCAGCCCTGAGGGACAACTGGGGCTTCTGGGGAAGGGACCAGGTAGACTAGCCCCGGGCTCTACCGGGTCTGACCTCACTTAATGCTGCTTTGAATTACTTGCCCCCAGCTTCTGGATAGCTCTCTATATTTGTCTGATGGGTGGTGAAATCAGGACACTCAGCCCTGCCCAGGCTTTGGGGAAAACATCAATACTCTAGTATTATAAGAAATGTGCCTGCGTTCTAGTTTCACTTGTCGCAGTGGGGATACTTCCAAATCCTCAATTAGTAAAAACTGACCTGTGTATAGAGAGCTTCACATACATTATCTCATTTGATTGTCACAAGAACTCTGTGAGATAAGGACCATTATTATTTGCGTTTTACAGATGAGGAAACTGAGGCAGATACAGTAGAAAGAACATTGAACTTAAAATCATGGGACCTGAGTTCTAGAACCTACTCTGCCACTTACTTATGTGACCTTAGTTAAGTCTGTGGGTCTCAGTTTCTTCAACTGTAAAATGAGGGAGGGGATGGACTAGATGGGCTCTAAATTCCCTTCCAGCTCTAGACCTAGATCTAATACCCTGTCACAGAGACAGATCCCACAGTAAAGTGCATGTCAGAGGCAGGTTTTGATCCTACTTGGTTTCACTGCAAGCCCAATACTGGATGCAGCCATGCCCAAATGTACTGTAGTCAAGTTTTATTTGCCAGGACTGTGTTTGATGCTTCTTACCAAGTGTCTTCATTGGGAGTCCTTTGGGAGACTTTTTCATTTTTTCATTTGGGAGTGTCTCTTTGGGAGACTTCCAAAACTGTCTTCTTAAATCAGTTATTCTAAAGTCTGACAAAACTAACCAGGGCTCAGTTGATACCAGCTTGGAAAGTGTATGCAATGCTTTACACCCATAGGCCTCCACCTCAGCAAAGAAGGGAGGGAGCTGCATTTTGTCAGTTGCGTTGCCTATTTTATGTCAAAACATATCAGCAGCCTTGTAAGAAGTTGGGCCTGCTGTCTGAGTCTTCCATGCAGTGGTTATGCAGTAAATATCTGCAGAATGTGGAGAGCATTGTGCTGGAATCTTGTCCGTTCCAGTCTTCAATACTGCTTCCTTTAGCTGTGAGACAAAGGACATTCAGTCTCCAAATGGTCCTAGTCCCCAGTTTTGTGAAAATGACTCTGCTCTCCCATGCAGGGCCTTTAGTTAAAAGAAGCCTTTGCAAATACTGCTGCTCCAGGGAAAGGGGCTTGGACACTGAGCCTGAAGACTTCTTGCTAACAGTGTGATGGAGGGCAAGGTCATTCCAGTCCCCAAGTCTCACTTTCCTCCTGTGTAGAAACAAAGGGATTTGGTTCATGGTCCCTGCCCTGGCTGCAAAGCGCTCAAGGAGATTAGGAATGCAGAAGCATTCTGCAGACCAGTGTGAGGGATTATTCTAAGGAAGCTTGGCACCTGTAGATATTCGTGGTTTCCTAATACTTACAGAAATGTTGATTTCAGTGCCCCAAGGAGATTGCAACTTCAGAATTGTGGGCCTAGAAGGGATCTGGAGGAAGTGTCCATCCCTGTATCTCTAGGTAGGACTGTTCTGCCACCATCCGGGATATCAACTGGCTGACTGACCCATCCCCAGTGTGGCCTCAGAAAACCTCTCCGGGGGAGGGGCAGAAGCTCCTTTTTGTCTGCTTTGCAGCTGCCTAGGATGGGGAGGTGCTTCTTAGACTGGGTCTGTTAGCTGCTTCTTTGATGATGTCCCACAGACCCATTCAGCACTCTAACAAAGGGCATCCAGTGCTTCAGGGAGCAGAAAAATATTTGCAGTCCTACGAGAGACAGGATGTGTAAATACAAGCCTGCTGTGATAAGCAAGTGCACGACTGGATGTGTGCCAAGGGAATGCTAAAGAATGGATGTCTGTGCAGTGGGAACGTCAATGGCTCCCATATGAGGTACCTACATTTCATTGGCTCAATGACGGAAAGGCCCCGAGGATTACCTTGATTATTATCACCCTAGGGCCTGTCAGAGCCCATGACAGAGGGGAGAAGTGGGGTGTAAGGAGTGGAATAAGCCTTGCACAGAAGAGAGTCAGGAGACCCAGGTTCTAAGTCTGGTTCTGCTATTAAGCAGCTGGGTACCCTTGGGCAAGTCACTTCTCTTATCTGTACCTTAATTCTCTCATATTCTAAATGGGGAGGGGTTGGATTAGATGACCTCAAAGGCCCCTTCCAAACCTATTGTTCTAAATGAGAATAGAATACCAATCTAAACTCTACCTTCCATCACCAGTACTGTGCCTTTCCAGGGTACTGAGACCCACTGCCGCTGGAGATATTGCAAGCTGATAAATACATCATTTCATGTTTTAAAATGTCTGTACCTATTTATGAAGAATTCAGCAGATGCATATAAATAATCCTGCTGATGGTAACTAGATAGGGTTTATGAGTCAACACTGTCTTCGTCATAGAGGAAAAATGCTTTTGTCCGTGCCTCTGCATCTTAATGACGTCATTATGAAACTGGCACATCTGAAATTGAACTTTTTTTTTTTTTTGTAAATCCTGAGGCTCAATGATGATGATGAACTATGCAGCTGTAAAACACTGTCCATGGTGCTCTACTGTGTAAAAAGTGCACCTACCCAAGTCCTACTTTATAATGTGAGTGACCCTGGGTTCTTTAAGGTTATGCCAGTAGGTCCTACCAGGCTAGAAGGATCCTGAATACCAACCTTTTGATAGATGATCTTTTAGTCTAGGAACAGCCTAGCTAAGTTTGAAGAAATGCGTCACCAGGCTGGCCACACGGGGATGAATTTTGGGACTTTTTAAAGTATAAAATTCTAGAAGGGTGGCAATCTGAATCAGTTGGAAGTTTCTATGCTGATAAAACCACAGATTCTTGAAGTATAGAAGTTATTTTCCTTTGCAGTAGTATTGTGTATTGAGGGCTGGCCTTAGAATCAGGAAGACCTTGGTTCAAATTCTACCTGTGACACATTCTAGCTATGTGACCATGGGCAAGTTTCTTAATCCTTCAAGCAGCTCTCTAATACTGTTATAGAGGAATTACAGTTCTGCATCAGTGAAGGGAGTTTTCACTTCGGGAGTTTACCACATCAATGAAATCACAGATGGGGGAGGGGCAACGAATTCAAATCATAAAACATCAATCCTGTGAGAGAAGGTTGCATAAATATTATCTCAACTTTATAGATGGGGAAATTGAGGCTCAGAGAGGTTAAATGACTTGCCCCCAAAGTCACATAGTTAGAAAATGGCAGAGCTGGGTTTCAAAGGTCTTCTGACTTGTGGTCCACTTCCCTCCAACACACACTCTGTCTCTCCAAAAAGAAGTTACTCAGAGTAAAGATGTCACACTCTCATCAGCCACACCATCCTTTTCTCTCTTCTAGGGTTTCACCTTTACAGCAAACTGCCCTCCGTTGTTCCAGAAAGCTGCTTGCTGATTTTTGTGGGGCTTGTCATGGGTGGAATCATTTATGGCTTAAATGACAAATCCCCACCCGTCATGGACAGCGACATATTCTTTCTGTACTTACTTCCCCCAATTGTCCTTGATGCGGGCTACTTTATGCCCAGTCGGCCCTTTTTTGAGAACATTGGCACTATCCTTCTGTATGCAGTTGTGGGCACTCTGTGGAACGTGCTTGGGATTGGCCTTTCCCTCTATGGCATTTGCCAAGTGGAGTACTTCAGCTTGAGCGATGTCTCCTTGCTCCATAACCTCTGGTTTGGGACCCTAATTGCCGCCGTGGATCCCGTGGCTGTGCTCTCAGTGTTCGCAGAGATGCACGTGAATGAGAAGCTACACATTTTGGTTTTTGGAGAGTCTCTACTCAACGATGCTGTGATCGTTGTAAGTATTGCCACCTGCCTGAAGTGTGTTGGCTGGTGAGCGAGGCTGCCCTCATGGTGGATGGAGGCCTCTCCCTGTAAAGGGAACCAGAGAATTCAAAAAAACTGGATTCAGTCCACCAGTGGCCAAGCGATGCCCTCACAATAAGCTTCTCTCCAGGGGCACAGTCTCTGTCCTCAGTTCACAGATAAATAAACATAAAATAGTGACACAATAAATACCGAATGATTTCAAAGGGGAGAAGGCATGAGAAACGAGAGCAAAGCTTGGCTTACTCTTTGGTGTCTGATGACTCTTTGGGTGTTCTGGGAAACCCAAAGTTTGAGAAGTGCTGAGTAGTAACTGCTGATGTTTAATATGGTGCTTTAAGAGTTTTCCAAAGCAATTCCTATGTATCATTTCACTTGAGCCTCACTGTGAGGACACTGAGGCTCTTAGAGGTTACATGACTCATCCGGGTCACACAGCAAATGCTTAGGGGAATATTTGAACCCTGCTTTGGACTCCAAGTCCAGCATTGTGTTCACTATGCCACACTACCTTGCTGGTTGGGCTTCATTTTTGGCCTTTTCTAATGACATTTCTTCTAACACCTTCTCTTCCAGGTGCTCTATAAATTATTTCAGTCTTTCAGTGAAATGCCATCTATCACGACACTGGATATTTTGGCTGGGATGGGAAAGTTCTTTGTGGTTGGAATTGGAGGAGTCTTCATCGGTCTCCTGTTTGGAATGGTGGCTGCCTTTACCACTCGCTTTACCAAGGCCACCCGTGTCATCGAGCCCCTCTTTGTCTTCTTGTACAGCTACCTCTCCTACCTCAGTGCAGAAATGTTTCACCTCTCTGGGATTGTGGCGTAAGTACCCCAGAGAGCTTCGATGGCTCAAGGAAGCCTCGGGTTTAGAGTTTTATGCTTGATTCTGCCCAGTAAACCTAGGAGGTGCCTCTGGTGATGTATATAAGGTGGAAAGAACAATCCCTCTCTCTGCCTAGCCGTGGGACCTGGGCCAAGTTCTTCTCTCTTGGGACCTCGGTTTCTTCATTTGTATAGTGGGGATGAAACCTGTACTATTTACTTCACGTGACTGATATGAGGCCCAGATTTGAGAATGGATAGAAAAGTGTTTTGTAACCATAAAGAGTTTTATAAACATTTTAAATTAATTAATTTTAAGCAAGCATTTATTTTCTTTCTATTCCACTCCATTGAATTCCAACCCATTAAAACCATGACCGCCAACAAACTCTCTTAACATAGGCAGAGTTCAACAAAGTGACTTCCTGTGTTGACCATATCCAAAAAAAGTGTGTCTCCTTCTTCACCCTGAGTCCGTCAATTTCTAGCAGGAGGTGAAAGGCCTGCTTTATCTTTAGTTTTTTGGCATCATGGTTTGTCATTGAATTCACTGATCAGGACCCAAGACTTTCCAAGCTGTTTTTCCAAGTTTGTTTGTCATTGTTCTCCTAGTTATGCTCATTTCACTCCATGTAAGTTCATAGTTGTCTTCCCAGTTTCCTCTGAAACTGTCCACTTTGTCATTTCTTATGGCATGAAAGTATTCCATTGCATTCATCTACAATAATTTGTGTTGCCATTCCCTGATTAATGGACACCCTCTTCGTTTCTAGCTCTAGAAATGAGGGGCTTCAGAAATGTGAAATGGTAGTATACTGTGAATGAGGGAAATCCTCCTTTTCTTCCCCTTCAGGATCCCCCACAGCTGGCCTTAAAGAATCTCTTGATCATTGAGACGTCACCAGCTGGATGGTGGCCCCAAACACTGGCTCCTTGGGGAAGTTTGGAGCTGGGGATGATGACATCTGGCCCTGCCTTCAGCCTTCCTCCAGACAGCCCTGGAAGCCAAGGGGTTCAATAGCTTTGTCAAGGGCTCCCTTGTTATCATGTGGAGGAAAACCTTCCCTATTGTATACATGTAGAACATGCCAACTTCTGACCCATTTGTGGTGGAAGACAAATCACCCCCTAATGTATCGTGTCTTGAGTCTAGAAATACTTACGATGAGGAGTGGCATAGGACATTTCAAGAACCTTGACATGGATTCTTATTCAGGAAACTATTGTTTCACTGCATAATTATGAACTGTGTTATTTCTTTGAAGAACCTCTAGGGCAACCTAACATAGTGAATAGAGGGCTGGCCTTGGAGTCAAGGAAGACCTGGGTTCAAGGCTCGCCTCTGACACATATCAGCTGTGTGACCCTGGGCAAGTCACTTAACCTCGAAGTTCTCCATGTTACTCTCTATGACCAATAAGTTGTAGAACAATTACTGATCTGCATTGGTGGAATGAATTTCAATCCTGAGAATTTCCTGTGCTGATGAAATCTCAGGTCTGGACCCCAAGTGAATAAATAAAATAAAAGTGAATAGCTGAGAAGATGAAGTTAATGTAAATTGACAGGTATATTTTGCTTTTGAAAGGCATCATGATAAAGTTGACAGGGAGCCAACCTTGGAGTTCAAGTTTTGTCTCTGACATATACTGGCTTGTGAGTCTGTGGACATACCAGGTCCCCCAGGTGATTCTTTGCAAATATCTTTGCAAGATAAGTCTTGGTGATTTTTTATTGGTGGAGGGAATTTCCACTCAGGGAATTCCCATGCCTATGAACTCATAAGTCCATACCAAAAACACCTCCCCAAATCCAGAAAAACCCCTAAATTTACCTTGAGGTCATGCAATATATTTTCCTCTACATCTGGTTGGTATTGAACTAATAATAATAACAACAAGAATAATAAATATTTACTGTTTAGTATCTGCTAAATATTTACATGGTAGACTAAAGGAAATGGACGTCTTACTCTGCTTGAATTTGGATTTAGAGCTGGCGTCCTATTCTCTGTGTGATACTAAAATAAGAACACACCCCTTCCCCAATGCTCTCAAGTCAGGGTTTCCAAAAGCTTAAAGAGACAAAGGATGAATTACTGTTGAGTTCCAGAGCACTAATGCCATTTGACTTTCTAGGTGATTCGAAGCTCTAAAGGGATTTAACTTGAAATAATAAATTCCACAGTGCAGTGGTTGGAATTAGTTTGTTTTAACTGTGTGTTGGCTTGGCTAAGCTCAAGGATTCCATTCTGAGCCCAGAAAATTGTCTTCTGTCTTGGCAAGGGGATGAATTCCATGATTTAAATCGCCCCTGATGTTACCAGTCAATATTAGCTATTGTCAGAGAGGTAGAGAGAGCCAATCTGATTGCCTTTTGGTTTCCTCTGGCATTTTACATTGAGCTGATCTAGTCCAGGGGATTTTTCAAGATTTTCCACAGAGTGTCTCTTTGGAAGCCTTGTTCTTTGGAAGTCCGTATCTAATTTTTTCAGCTTGCCTGTTTGGAGACTGATCTTCAACTCTGTCCTCAGCCCAGAGGCAGCCACACCAGAGGGACCAATGGGGCTGAGCCCATCTTTAGCTTCCTGTACCCAGCTCAGGATACTTGCCTTTTTTTGAATTTGCTAGTGCTCTTTAAAAAAAAATTATTATATATATATATATATATATATATATATATATATATGTATATATATATATATATATATATATATATATATATATATGTATATATATATATATATATATATAGGCTAGGACTGCAGCCCTCGAAGCTTTAATTAGATAATCTGGTCTCTTTATAGCCAAAGGTAGCAGCAGGAGGAAGGATTTGTACTATCCTATCTCCCATATATATTTCATCCGAGATATAGATTTTTCTCAAATTCCCCAAACAATTTGGGTTTCTTTCCAATTTGAGGCAAATGCTCTGGAGCTCTTTTTGTAAGAAAAGTCTGTTGGATTTGCCAAGTAGCAGGCTGTTGGTGAGCTGGGAGAGAGCAGTTCCATTGGAGTGGTGGGGGCAGCAGGAAGGTTTCTGAGTATGGGGCAGGGCAGGGGAGTCAATGTCATTGTAAAGGTAAGGGCAGAAAAGACAGTGCTCCCAGGGTATCCCTTTCAGAGTCTGAGGAAAGATTTTTTAGGATAGGGAAGACCAGAACATGTTTCTAGGGAAAGAGAAAGGGGCCAGTGGGGAAGGGGAGCTGAAAGATCTAGTAGAGACAGGGAGGAAATCAGGAGAAAGGACACCCCTGGACCCTCTGCAGGAGGGATGGTTGTAACTTTGAGGTGCGAAGGTAGGAGGAGGCATGGGGTGAAGAGGTGGAGAAATTTTGAGGTAGAGGGTAGAGAAGTAGCTGGAGCTCATCCCAAATGACCTTTCTACTCTTGGTAAAAAAGGAATTGAGCCAATTTGCAGAGAGTGAAGGGACAGGGCTGGGCTCTGGGGCTTGAAGAGAGTATAAACAGTTTGGAACAGTTTCAGTGGTGAATGAGGGAATCAGGTAGAGGTGATCCAAAGCTTTCTGAGCAACTCTGAGAGCCCTGCTAATGTTAGCTAGACTGAATTTGTGATGTGGTCCATCAGCCGGGTGCCACTTTTCTCCTCTAGTCTAGGCAGCCTAGGAGGAAGGAGGAGTAGGGAATGGAGCAGAGAAAGCCGCTGGCAGCCTTTGCCCTAGGCTGGAGGTGGTCTGTAGGAGGGATATGGTGGAAAGTTGAGGGGGCGTTGGCAAGGAGTTGAACTGGTTCATTGTGGGGTTTGGGTCGGGTCTGGGTGGGTGGACAAGTATAGCAAGAAAAAGCCAGACAGACTGAGGAAGGAGAGATAAGTTAGCAGACTAGAGGGCGCCGGAAGGATGGATCATACAGTTAGAGAACTGGAAAGGATTCAAGTGATCATCTGGTCTACTAGGCTGCTGAAGAGGAATCTTTGCAGCAGCGTTCCCAACATATGGTCAACTAGCCTTTGCTTAAGCCCTGCAGTGATGGGGGAAGCCCACTCTCCCCAGGCAGCCCATTTCCCTTTGGGACAATTCTCATCATTAGGGAGTTTTCTCTGACATCAGGCTGAGATCTGCCTCTCTGCATACCAAGTCTAGGCCGTCTTCCCCAGGGCCGCCCCTCAAAAGAATTAGTTTCTGCAAGAATGACTCCTGTCAGCCTTCCTGTTCTAGGAATGACTCTACTAGGAGAACTAGAACCTGGAGTGTGGACTCCCATGGCTTCAGCCTTCCAAGGCTCCCCCCACTTGATAATATTTTATTTTTTCCAATTACATGTAAAGATAGTTTTCAACATTCACTTTTATAAGATTTTGAGTTACAAATTTTTTCTCCCTCCCTCCTTTCCCCCCTTCCCAAGACGGTAAGCAATCTGATATAGGTTATACATGTACAATAATATTAAACCTATTTCCACATTAGTCGTGTTATGAAAGAAGAATCAGAACAAAAAGGAAAAACCACAAGAAAGAAAAAAACGAAAAAAGTGAAAATAGTATGCTTTGATCTGCGTTCAGACTCCATAGTTCTTTCTCTAGAGAGAGCATGCAGTCTTAATGATAGTTGCCTTCAGCATTAGTGGGGTACAGGCTCTGGAGAGCAGTCTGTGTTCTTTCTTTTTCTATGCATTGGTGTTTCTGAAATCAAGAGGCTGTGTGATCTTGGGGAAGTCGCTTCAGAATCCCAGCTCCCATCTCGGCGGCCCTTCCTGGGGCTTGGCTTCCTCATCTGTGAAATGACAGGGCTGGAGGCCATGGCCTCCAAGGTCCTTGACAATGCAACAATTCCATGGGTTTCTGTTTCCTGGCCCTTTGATCTCTCTCATTCCATGTTGTCTTCCTCTGATGTTTGTTGCTTCACACGATGACTCCAGAGTCCACAGGCAGCACAAGAGTTTTAACACATCTTGGTGAGGCACCTGTGGCCTTGAGATGTTAAGGGACTTACCTAGGGTCATCCAGCCAGACCTTATTGGGTAATTTCATGAGTTGCTGTG